ACATACACAGTGTACAGTGTCTTGAACGATTCCTTATTGAGGTATCGGAACGCTATTCTCAGGTTTGCCAGGCGCCCGTATGCTGCAGCGGTTATTTGGTTGATGTGTGCCTCCGGTGATGTACTCGGTGTTATGGTCACCCCAAGGTCTTTCTCCTGAGTGAGGTCTGTAGTCTTTGTCCACCTAGCCTATATTCTGTCTGCGGTCTTCTTTGCCCCTCCCCAATCTTCATGACTTTGCATTTGTTTGCATGTGTGTGTGTGTGTGTGTGTGTGTGTGTGTGTGTGTGTGTGTGTGTGTGTGTGTGTGTGTGTGTGTGTGGTGAACATAAAACTGACTCGTGTAGTGTTCAGTAAGGTGACCTAGACACTCTCCCTTTCTGTCTGGTCTTGGCTACGGTACTGAGTCCAGACGGTCGCAACTCTTTGTGTCTGCCTAGCCATCATGGTCACACCAGCTGGAAGACATCGGAATTATCAGAGCACAGAATGATTCTGAACCCCTCTCTCTAAACCCCTGGAAATGTGAACTAGTGTCCTCCAGTCAATGCAGTCACTGATCCCTCACAAAGAGTAAAAGTTGTTAACTCTGCTGATTGTACGCTCCTTGGTGCTTCACTCTGGTGTACTGGTTTGGAAATAGAGTAGTCGATGAGCGGGACAGTCTGCCTAGTAGGATCACTGAAGCTAAAACCTTGGGTAGCTTCAAATTTATAATGGCATTGAAGCTAAAACCTTAGGTAGTTTCAAATTTAGGTTTGGTAAATACAAGAGTGAGAGGGGTTAGAATTGAATGGTACTTGCACATGAGTTAATAGGGTTTTGAAGCTTATTCCTTGGGTAGAATTGAAAATGGGTTGGGCAGATATTTTTGTTAGTGGGTTTGGATTTGAGAAAGACTTGCCTAGTATGGGCCATTAGGCCTGCTACAGTGTTCCTCCTTTCTTATGTTCTTATGATGGAAATCAAGATGGAAATCAAGATGGGAAAGATGCCTCTAATCTCAGCATGTGTCTATCACTCACTAAGTTAACCAAATTTTCAACGATGTTCCTCGTCACTCACGAAATCGTAATGACACGATTGCAAACAAACCATATCACGGGGGGGATAGAACCTGCGATCAGAGAGTCTCAAAACTCCAGACCGTCGCGTTAGCTGGTCCAGTGGCTAACGCGACGGTCTGGAGTTTTGAGACTCTCTGATCGCGGGTTCTATCCCCGCCCGTGGTATGGTATGGTATGTTCCTCATCCTTTGCCAGCCCCAGGGTGAGTATCACATCTTCCTAAACTCCATGCTACGAAAAAAAAAAATCACCCTGGAAGAAGAATCACAGCGAGAGGAAGCAACACTTGCAGTCAGATATGGTGGAGGGAACGAACGTATGGCATCTCAGACTGCCTTACCAGCCTTATCTCCTGAAATGGATCCAGTTAAGTGGTTAAGCAAAATCTCCCCAGGTAATTTAACGGGAGTGGCTGACCCCAGCTACACGGCCCCTGTTGTGGGGTTCTATGGGAAGAGTGAGGTAGCAATGACACCAATAGAGAGGCACAAAGAGGGAGCCCAGCACTAATAAGTCAGTCCTTCGCCTGGTTTGTGTTCTAAGACCAGCAACCTAGCATGTGAGCTTCAAAAGGGGTCACGTGACCTAGCGTGATGTACATAGGGATTCTGCATATAATGGTATTGCTACATAATGTATATACACAAATATTGTGCCAGTGACACCCCAGCATGTGGCGACCGTTGCAGCTACAAGGGTAAACTAGACAAATACCTCCATCAAGTGCCGGATCAACCAGGCTGTGAGGGATATGTGAGCCAGTGGGGTGCCAGCAGTAACAGCCTGGTTGAGCAGACCCTGATCCACCATAAGGCCTGGTCTCAGACCGGGCCGCGGGGGCCCGAAACCCTCTCCAGGTAAACTCCAGGCCTGGCTGCGGGTGTAGAAAAACTAACGAAACTCATCAAAGGTTTAGCCTAGACAACAAGACCTGCTGAAACATTAAATAACAAACATTCCCGCTAGGACCTAAACACTGGAGTATTTAGGTCCTTTCGGTTGTAAGCCGTAATAGCGTGAGACAGGTGTCGTGTCATTAAGACTTGAGTGACAGATCTATCCTGGGTGACCAAGCCAGTTCTGTGCATCTCAGGTAACTTCATTAACTCTACGTTAGCGCACTGGTACAGGGTCACATTGGTAAGGGGTCACACTGGTACGAGGTCACATTTGTTCGGGGTCACACTGGTACGGGAGTCACACTGGCAGGGGTGACACAAAATGAGTTCACTTTGGTGAAAGTAAGAAGAAGGGTTGAGGTTACGATACAAAGACCTTCCTGACCTTTGACGAAATACATTAGAAAACACGAAATATGTTTATGAGTATTCTGCTCTTTGTGGAGGTGACCTTCCCCCCCCCCCTCTCTCTCTCTCTCCCTCTTTCGTGTCATCATACAAAGTTAGGCATCCGCAGCGTGCTGCTGTCATACTCTTTAAGTTACAATATGGGAACACCAAGTAGCAGTTACGTCTTCCTGTCATACACACGCAGGTCCTCGTTCAGTTATTAGTCCAGTCAGTTTAACAGGAAAAACAAAGTCAATTTAGAACTAACTGCTACAGAATTTATTGTTACTCTTACGTTGATCAACACTTAAGAAGCACCATATCCAAAAGGGAGACGAAAAAGAAGTTAGTTCAGCGTCAATAAAATGGACGTAAGCTTCACTGTTTTCATATTTATTCGTTTTTTGTAACCCAGTTTTTTCTTTCTGGTGTGAATTTTAGTGTCAGTTGTTGTGAAAATCCTCCCAGGAACTACACTTGTGCAGATATTACCTTGTGTATTTTTGTAGAGGAAAAAACGCGATTTAGGGGTTTGTGTCAGGGGGAGAATACTGAAGATTGGCACTCAGCATGTGGTGTACTTGGCACTCAGGGTGTTGTGTACTTGGCACTCAACGAGAGAGAAGCTTACGACATTTCGGTCGTATGATGACATATTGAACTTACATTAATATTAACTGCGAACAACACATAGCCTCGTTCGTTATGAAATACAGGTTAGGTTAGGTTAGGTAAGGTTCGTCAGGAAACAGGACAAATAGGTATGAAATACAACTGTCCAACAAGAAAGTTCTCTCTGCTGTACGTATGACATTTCACGGTTCGTTCGTATTGCCATACAAGATAAAGATGAGTTGACACATCCAGTGCCCTTGCACTCATTCACTCCTATTGGGCATTCCAGACTGATTTTGTTTTTAAAGCAAGTGCATCATTTCACATCGCCATCTGTTTTGTAATTGCATATTATTACCTTCATTACAGAGTTTACTGAGTTGTTGGTAAATCTGTGGTACGTAGTGCAAGTCGACTACTGGCCACTATCTGTCCATAATCGACAACTGGACAATATCTATTCGGACTACTGGCCAATATCTATCTATAACCTGGATTGAAAGCTTGCCCATCGACTGGTCAACTTGGAAATAAACACAGGCACTGTGACAGCGTGCTGTTGCTGCATGCACTGGTGGCAGTGAGTCTAGTCTCTACAACCTACACTGATGAGCTGCTGGCACAAATTCTCTCACGAGATCGCTGGTAATGAAAGCGATCCAGTTCTTCACCTGGGAAACCAGTGTACAAGTGTGATTGCTGTGTTTGCTACTCGGCAAAATTGTTCTGCCAGCTTCTTGAAATGAGTATTGTTCTTCAGCTTCACCAAGGCAAGCCATTTCCAAATGGCAAAGAGACGTGACGTTGTCTGCATCCACAGATTGCATATACAAAGTGAAGCAAGTTGGACGTCTCTGCACTCAACAACTCTATAGCCAATGAGTTCCAGATTCTCCAAGTCTTGTTGGATATTTTTTGTGCCTGACCTAAAGAATAGGTGGAAGGAAGTGAAGCCAGCATTAATATTAAGTGGTATCACCAAGTCTCTGATCTCTCCCATGACGATTATATATCATGGGCGGATGCACATTTTACTGCTTTCTGGAGAATTAACGTCAGATTTACCTGCATGAATACTCTTGCATCCACTTTCTTACTGTTTCTCACCGAGCATGATATTGAACCTTTGTGTCTTGGTATTGTTGGCCAAAGGGTCTTCATTCACTGGATAGACATTCATCCCACCTTTCTCCCATAAAGTTCACCTGGAACCAGGTAGTGTGTTTCGGTTCACGTTGTGTTACGTCATGGTAAATTAGACACATGGGCGACACTTGGGTATCTTTACTGTGGATAGGTTTCGCCACGTAGTGGCTTTCTTAGTCCAATACAGAGAAGAATGGTTGGAGATCAGAAGGAATTTGAGATAATCAGTCCCTCAGCCTGGAGTCGATGTAATCAGTCCATCAATCTTTGTACTCACCTATTTGTGGTTGCAAGAGTCGAGACATAGCTTCTGGCCCTGACTCTTCACTGATCGCTACTAGGTCTTCTCTCTCCCTGTTCCATGAGCTTTGGATGTGCGTGTGTGTGTGTGTGAACATTGTTCTTGGGTGTAACGCGAGTCACTGCTGATCACAGTAATAACTACAGTACTAACTACATATGCACTGCTCCTCGCCATCTATTAATAAGAATGTCACTCAGTAACTGTCTTGGGTTTAATAATAATATATATTCATTCACAAGAGAGCTCAACACTAAAATAAACATCAGTCCTCAACTGTTAAGTTAATCATATTATAAATACTTATTACTATCAAATCTCTGACGTCATAAATCTGAATAGTTCTGACTGGCAGATAATTGTTGATAAACTTTTCTGATTGGTGGAAAGTCTTATAAGTCATGGAGTTGCTTCATACTAATTGGCTGAGAAATTTTTGTTTTATCAGTTTTGAGAGTAGTTTTTTGTTGATATAAAACATTAACTTGATACTAGTTGGTAACATGGCAGTAAATTTAAATATATTTGTGGAAGAAAAATGATTATTATTACTATTATTATTATTATTATTATTTCTTTTCAGATGATTGTTGTAGACGACCGTGATCCAGTCGGAGGTAATGTTATGGAAATGAAGTATTTGTTTTTGTTTTTTTTTTTTTTAGATTTTCAAAATATGCAGTGTGTGTGTGTGGTGTGTGTGTGGTGTGTGTTGTGTGTGGTGTGTGTGTGTGTGTGTGTGTGTGTGTGTGTGTGTGTGTGTGTGTGTGTGCGTGTGTGTGTGTGTGTGTGTGTGTAACCCACACCTGGTCAAGCATGTCAAGAAATTAGAGAAAGTGTAAAGGTTTGCAACAAGACTAGTCCGGGAGCTAAGGGGTATGTCCTACGAGGACGGGTTAAGGGAACTCAGCCTGACGACACTGGGTGACAGGACTGGTAAGGACATGATAACGACATAAAATACTGAGAGTAACTGACAAGGTGGATAGGGACAGGTTGGTTTCAGAGATGTAACACAGCAAGAAGGGTCACAACTGATTTTCGTTCTGCCGATTATAACGGACTCAGGGAACACTTGTCTAATCTCGAATGGGGTAATGTAAGCTAATGATTTTAGTGACGACAATCATACTTTCGATAATGAAGGTATCTGCATTTATGGCAATTTCCATTATAAGGTAAAAGGATGCTGCGCCTCACCTTTTGACAGTATATAAGCCTCCATACTGTTGCTTCAAATTCACATAGTTCCAACCTATGGAGTAAAACTCTTTCCCAGGCTGAGGGACTGACCACCTCAAAACCACGTCTTCAAGGGTGATGGACTGATTACATCGTCTTCACATTTCTACTGCTCCAGCCAACTTTTCTGTACTTGGCTGAAAAAGCCTACTGTGTAGGCGAAACGTTTCGGAATAAAGATACTTAACTGTTGCACATGTGTCTTACTAATAATTATCAAGTTGTTTCGGTCCTTCCTGGACCATTATCAATTTTTTTCGGTTCTTTCTGGATCATTATCAAATTGTTTTGATCCATCCTGGGCCATTATCAAGCTTTTTTGGTAGTTTCAGAATTATTGTCAAGTTTCGGTCCTTCCTGAACCATTATCAAACTTTCGGCCCCATGGGTCGGTCCACCCTGGACCATTTTCATTTTTTTGGGACAGTCCTGGGACTATTATGAAGTTCTCCGAACTGTGAGCTAGATATATTTAACTAAATTACACAAATATAAATATATATTTACGTTAGGATATATTATCACTATTGGTTAAGAATTGGCCTATATTTTGTACTGGTGTGTTTGTTAAATATGGTTAAATTGCAGGTTTTTCCCAGAATAACTATATCCACAAAAAAGAATATAGTTAGGAATGTTTTATGTATAATCATATTATGAGGTTGGCAAAGTGTCAGGATGCATGTTTGTAAACACTGTGATGTCACACACCAGCTGATTTCATTTTTTTTCTCCCCGACCACTCCACCACTCCTTCCTCCACGATCACCTACTTCCCACCACCTCCACCATCTTCTCCAAAACTTCCACCACCTCCTCCCCCAAACCCCCCCCCCCCACCACCTTCTTCAAAACCTCCAACAAATTCTCCAAAACCTCCGCCACTACCTTCCCCAAATCTCCACCACTTCCCACAAAACCTCCACCACCACCTCCCCAAAACCTCCACCACCACCTCCCCAAAACCTCCACCACCACCTCCCCAAAACCTCCACCACCACCTCCCCCAAACCTCCACCACCACCTCCCCCAAAACCACCACCACTTCCCCCAAAACCTCCACCACCACTTCCTCCAAACCCTCCACCACCTCACATATCTATCCCCCCTCCCCATGCTCCCCCACCTACCTCCCACCCTAGAGCTACCTCCACCCTTCCCTCCCAGGAACATCGAGGTCAAGGAAGATGTGGACATGCGCAAGTTCTACAACCTGAAGAAGGAGATAGGGAGGTAAGTCTTATTTCTGATCCTTCAGTCTTCTCTAAACCTTAAGTTTTGAAGAGGTGGATGGGTAAGCCAGTGGAAGGCCTCCGTCAGATGACCAAAAGCTCCAGCTGCTTGTCATACGATTAAGACCCGCGTCAGGAAACACTTGTTCCCTGACAAACATTATCTAACCTGTTACTCTACCTACCGTGTTCATCTCCGGTAGTCTCTTACTTCCAAGATAATTTATCTTAGCTCTCTCTTATTAATTCTACGTTTATGTTTATTTTGTCTCCTTATCACATCGGTTTTTTATTTAAAAAAATCCCATTATTACTATAGCTCTTCAGTTTCATCGTTCACCCCCCCCCCTTCACCTTCCACGAACATTGTCACGTTTACCATCATATTCACTGATGAAGGTGTCAACGCTGACGAGACCGTGTCGAACAGAAGTTCCCAACATGTTCAGTGGCCCTCACCCCTAGGAAATGTTTGATTAATGTTGCAACACTTACAAAAAAGTAATATCACATTTGCATAAAATGCAAATATAAATTGAGGAATTAGAAAAGTTTTTCTCAATATAAACGGAATTGTGTTTTATTAGGACTGTCGCGTCGCTTGTAATGCTATCTCGCACCCCCCTGGTGTAGAGGGACACGTTCACACCCCAGGTGGGAACCCCTGGTGTAGAGGGACATGTTCACACCCCCAGGTGGGAACCCCTGGTGTAGAGGGACACATGTTCACACCCCCAGGTGGGAGCCCCTGGTGTAGAGGGACAAATGTTCACACCCCCAGGTGGGAACCCCTGGTGTAGAGGGACATGTTCACACCCCCAGGTGGGAACCCCTGGTGTAGAGGGACATGTTCACACCCCCAGGTGGGAACCCCTGGTGTAGAGGGACACATGTTCACACCCCCAGGTGGGAGCCCCTGGTGTAGAGACATGTTCACACCCCCAGGTGGGAGCCCCTGGTGTAGAGGGACATGTTCACACCCCCAGGTGGGAACCCCTGGTGTAGAGGGACACATGTTCACACCCCCAGGTGGGAGCCCCTGGTGTAGAGGGACACATGTTCACACCCCCAGGTGGGAACCCCTGGTGTAGAGGGACACATGTTCACACCCCCAGGTGGGAACCCCTGGTGTAGAGGGACACATGTACACACCCCCAGGTGGGAACCCCTGGTGTAGAGGGACATGTTCACACCCCCAGTTGGGAGCCCCTGGTGTAGAGGGACACATGTACACACCCCCAGGTGGGAACCCCTGGTGTAGAGGGACACATGTTCACACCCCCAGGTAGGAACCCCTGGTGTAGAGGGGACACATGTAGAACACGTCCTACTCTGAGTTGATATTTTTGAAGTCATGAGATAACATTCACTATATATAAATACTCTTGAAAGGAAGGGTGAAAGTAGGTGTGGGTCACCAGGCAGTGGCGAAGGTCGCCTTCATAGTGGGCAAACATAAACTGTCAATTTAATCTGTGTTTGAAGTGATCAAGGTCCCAGGACCGACACGTTTTCTAATATATACACCCGGTGTTTGCTCACGAGTCGTTTTAAACCAGTTTCTGAGTATCAGTAACCAAGGTTGATACCACGTTGATAGTGGCAGGCTAGGCTGTCACTTGGTCAACGTTAAATGTGAATCAGGTTCCTGGATAATGAGGTTTGAACCAATGGTGGCCTGGTGGTAAGCTCTCGCTTCACAGAGCGACGAGGGTCTGGGTTCGAGTCCCAGCCAGGGTAGAAACATTGGGCGTGTTTCTTTACACCGGTTGTCTATGTTCACCCATCAGTAAAATGGGTACCTGGGTGTTAGTCGACTGGTGTGGGTCGCATCCTGGGACAAAACTGACCTAATTTGCGGGAAATGCTCAGCATAACAAGCGGCTTTCTATATAGTAGTATGTCATTGATGTCAGCTATGGTCTGCATACCTTGTACTTGTAGTAAATAAAGATATTATTATTATTAAAGTGTGTACAGATACTAGCCTAGTCACAGACCGATAGTTATCCATAGATGTGAATTCTGAGTGTTTTGCTAGCCTGGAAGCAAGTTTTTTTTTTCGTTTTATGCTATATTGGGTTCGGATGGCCGCTGCCTTTATGTTATAGGGATGGGGGGGGTTTTTTAATGTAGCCACAGATGTGGCGAATGAGAAGTAAAATTCGCCACATCATGCAAAAAAAATAAAAGAATTGGGTTCCTCGCTGAAAATTCAAAATATAAGTTGTTGGAATAAATTGATTCAAAATATGAAAATTTTGACTTTTCAGTTGCAACTGTCTGTACGCAAAAAATTTGAAAACGTTGTTTAACTATATTATAGAGCAAAATGTGACAAAACTCAAATTCGCCATTTTCATCATGTCTTTTGCACTGTGTGTTATTCGTGAGGGTAGTAGTGAAGGCTAAATAATCCTCCATATATATTATATATATATATATATATATATATATATATATATATATATATATTATATATGGATCATGGTTAGAGTACGAAAAGGTTAATTTTCTTCTGTAGTCCTAAGTGCATCCTTCTCGATAACTAAGACATAAGTAATATTAGGCTCTGAGTCTAATCCCAGAAAGTGAATCTAGACTACTGGTCGTTCCCAGTGTGTGTATACGCAGTTTCTCTCCCCTAAGATGCGACTGAACTATCAACTAACTCTCAAGCATCTCTTTACTGCTAGGTTAACAGGGACTGAAGGTGAAAGGAGACTAACCGCAAGTCTGGCATCTCCCAGGATTTGATCCATTCTTTTATTTGATCCTCACGCTCTTCTACTCCGTATCTCCCGTCTCTTATTAAGGCTAAGACAGGTTTTATTGTGACAGTTCGCACTGTGTACAACTGTAAGTTATATATCGCGCTGTGTAGAGCTTTATCAAGGAAGTTGAGCACAAAACAATACTGTAATTTCCCTTTCTCTTTCTGGCAGGTTGAACCTACGTTCTCCACACCTTGTTCTCTGAACCAGCTCTTACCCAAAGTTCAAATAGGTTAGGCAAGATATGCCAGGAAACAGGACAAATGTTTCCTAAAGGGGGTCTTAGTTATATAATGACCCGCAGCTGGAGCAAATCACGCTGTATAGCCCTTGTGGCTTAGCGCTTCTTTTTGATGATAATAATAATGGAGCAAATCACGTGCAGGAGGCTTACAGGGCATCACTTGAATTATTACCTGCAAATAATTAGGGTGAGGTAAGGGGGACTAAGTCACAGTAGTTCACTGAACTGCATCTCCTTCGACTGCCCACTTCCTCACCACTCATAAAAAGCTAAACCTGACATTAAATTAATAATTATAATATTAAAACCAGCACCTCTGGGTAAAATTAAAATTTAATGAACTGTATGACAATTTCAGGACCCGATCTCCAGAAATGATTAATGGGAACACTAATACACACAGAGACAGTAAAATTTCTAATTAACAGTATTTGTAATTATTAAAACACTATACCTGCAATTATTAAAGATGAATTTTTATATTAATACTCACCATATATGTTGCCGGTGGAACACACCCTAACGCCTACCTAACAAATAGAATCTAACTGGCCAGTTAGCATTTAACTGTTAAGTAACGTGACTTACTTCCCTGGACGAGGTGCGATGACGCCGCACCATTCATTTTCCATTCTCACCGCCGTTATGGTGGTTTCGTAAATTTTCTGTCCCTATACTTCAACGGGGGACATTAACGAAGGTTCCAATTACAAATTCAAGCCGAAACACTCCAATTTAGCCTCTGAGAACGCCTGTTTACATTGCACAAACACAGGACCGGTCTTCACAAGTTAAATTCAATATGGCATCACTACTGGCTGCTCCCCACCCCCCTTCACTTAAAATTTCTAGAAGGGTCCAAATATTTTAATAATTATAATCATGGGAGCGCTAAACCCGTCGGATTATACAACGCATGTGGGGGGACGGAAGGTATTCAGGCTTAATTCAGGGAACTGGAGCACAGATCCAATTCCCTAGATCAAGAGCACCTCACCAGCGTCAAGGAACCTTATTTATAGTTCCACCTTTAGGAAATTATGTAAAAAAATTCCGCAGGTCATCTGATCAAGGTGTTCCACTCCCAAAGTTGAAATAACTTCATCTTCCTTTAAATACACTACACAGAGGAAGGCTCCATACTTAGACTAGGCTAATCTCCACCAAAATATTCAGTGCTATGTTAGTAATGGTATTTGAACACAATGACTCCCACGGTTTTAGGCTTTTACTCGTGAACATATTAAAATTGGTTACAAGTGGATATTGTTGATGTTTAAGGGAGAAAGGTTATGATGGGAGCAGTGTGACCAGGAAGTGAATTTTGGGTTGCTGTCAACAATGTGGGTCACCTCGTAATTGGACCTTGCTATGTTACATGCGTTTGACGCTTGTCATTCTGTTTTAGGGCCCCAGCCTAGTTGTGCTGTGTTTGTAGGGGTTGAAGCATAGTCTTGGCCTCTCCTTACTCTTTTTCAACAGGTTTTTACTGAATCATTAGCATGATCATACCCACTTTTAAAACTGTGCATGTTTTTCCCTACATTCGACGTCATGTCCCAAGACAAAAAATATCTCCTAATGTAACGTACGTATGTTTTTGGAACCCTGTGTGCAGCGTATTTGCCTTTTTTTTACTTCGGGCAAACTATGTAGACCAATTAGTTTTTATTCCCATTTTGAGAATGTATCGGTGCATCCTAGATTCCTAGTAGATTTAGGGCCGGGGTGACTGACCCTTTGCCTACGCTGAACCCAAATTAACCTGGTTAGCAAGTTGTCCTTGGCATCTGTTATTAACAAAAACAACTGGGCGGATACTCCAAAATTTTAAGGTTTTTTTTTCTTTTTCTTATGCCGGGTTTTTAACATTATATTATATATTCGACTCTTAAGTTCACTTGCTAGAAACTAAAATAAAGATTTAGGTATTCTGGTTAGCAGAAATTTAAGGCCAAGATAAGTGTGCTAACCAGAAAACTA